AATGATGCTGAAAATTCAGCTTTGCCATCGCAGGAATAAAATACATTTTAAAATAAATGACATTTATTTTATTAGTTGTAATAATATTTCACAATATTACTGTTTTTACTGTATTTGTTGATCAAATTAACGCAGTCTTGATGAGCATAATTCAAAAATTAATTTTCCTATATAGACAGTGTTGCAGCTCACTGGGTTTTAGGAACAGAGCCATTAAGCACATATTCTTCTCTACATGGTCCCGCCACCTTCTTGTCTCTGAATATATACAGCCGAATCATTCTGTATGTGATGTACGTTTCATGAATTGACCATTATGCAGCACACAGATGCTCTTCTGTCTGTATTACGAGAACTTGGCTTTACAGTCATGATAGCAGCCAAGCACTTATTGTGAGTCCAGGTGATGCTATTGTGTGAGGCAGTAGAATAAGTGAGGTAATACAGTATCTCTGGTTGCTGTGAAGCAACATTAGTGAAGTGAGACGGGCCGTGCATAATGCCTTTTTAAAACCCAACACAACAAATCAGGCTTAAAGACACTGTAGCTCATGCAGCAAAACATTCACAGGGATGCCAGGTTTAAGTGTATCTCTCTTTCTCCAGCTCCTGACAAATCTCCCACAATCCTGACTGTCACGCCACACACCACAACCTCTGTGCTGATTTGCTGGCAGGTAAGTGGGCGGGACTTTTCACTTACAGCCGCACCAGTCGTGCTTTTCCATCAGCGGTATGTAATAACAGAGCAGGAGGGCATAGTATGAATCTTAAACACATATTATCAAAGTCACCCATAAATTACACTTTCAAAGAGGGCTGGTTGTAAAAGCTGCAGGCCTTTGGTTTGCATTTTTATCCATTCAGTTGAGAAAAAGGTGAGTGAACTGGTTCCTCCACCAGAACTAGTTAATTCACACTTTATCGGGGGGATTTTTCTGATTTGCTTATTAAAATTGAGATTAGAATTAGCAAAAGTCTGGTTTATCCTTGGATTTATCCAGAGTAAAGATGTCTACCCTCTGGCGATTAGCAGCATACATGTTTACACAACCTCTAATTACAGTAGATGTACTCAACGTGATGCAACCCTAGACACAAATCAAATGGCAAAAGCTTAAAGGGGGCGGGACTGTCTTTTTCTAACCAATAGCAGAAGGAGCCATTCTGTTTGCCGTCACTAGTGGCACAGATATTCCACACTTCACCTTTAATGACACTGTTGATTATGTGTGGAGACATTCGCTCAGCATGTCCTGTCGTCCTTAGCCCCCTCCTGAGGAGAAGATTAACGGGATCCTCTTGGGTTTCCGAATCCGATATCGGGAGTTGTTTTACGATCGGCTCCGAAGTTTCAGCGCTCATGCCATCAGCAGCCCTTCAACCAGCTGGGCAGAACTCACATGTAAGCAGAAGTATCACTAGCAGCATGTCTCTCAATGTGTACCGTAAATGAGACATGACCCAAAAATAAAGTATACATCTCTCATTTTGTTTTTAATTTTAAATTTTTTTTTTGCACCTAAAATTTTAGTGATTATTTTAAGTTTAATAGTCTTTTATAATGATTAATGTTTTAATTGATTCATAGCCCAAATCATAAATATATTTAAAAAATTTAATAAAAAGTTTTTTTTTTTTAAGTTCAAGTAATCAGTTGATTAATATTAGTATTAATCAATTTCAATATGTTCATTAATGGCTTGTTAGTTTAAAAGTATCATTTTAGTAGACTAAGCTTAATTTTAGATTTAGTATGAACTATTTTAAAATATTTAAGATAATATCTCGCTCTCATTATTTTTATATTAACTAATATTTTCATTGATTCACAGACCAAAACAATAAATATACTTGAAAAATGAATTAAAAAGTAATAAATAAATGTTCAATTAATCAGTTAATTAATATTAATATTAATATTAATCAAAATTAAAAATAAAATATTCATACAAACATAAAATATCTTCATTAATGGCCTATTAGTTCAAAAGTATTATTTTTGTAAACCAAGCATAATTCAATTTTATATTCAATATTAACTTTTTAAAAATATTTAAACTAGTTTCTGACTCTTCTTATTTTTCTGATCATATCTCCTATCAGCTCCATACAGCATACGGAACCTCAGCGATCCCTCGCTCAGTCAGTATGAGCTGGACAGTAAGTCACTTCCTGTTTCTTCTCGCTGTTTTTTCCTGTTTCTCTTGCCCAGTCCATAAAGCTGATGTATGATTGTGTCTGATCCAGTACATGTCAAGTCTACTTAAGGGTTGAGAATTTGCAGTCTAGATGTTTAGGCTGGCTGCTGTCAGTGGTTCTGTTCTCACCTCATGTCTAGAGTGGTAATGAATTTAAGAGCTGGATCTGGTTTCTCTCTGCCGTTGATCTCTGCTGGAAGAGCAGTGTGTACATTGAGTTCAGACAAGCAGACTGACTCATCTTTCGGGATGGGAGCTGACACTGTTTTCAGAGAAAGCCTGAGTCAAAGTTAATGAAACAAAGATGGTTGAGAAATTGGAACATTTAATATAAAGCGAATCACATTGTTTGTCTCTTTTAGTTTAGTTTAGTTTTTTTAAGTAGATAAAACTTGTTGTTGAGTGCCAACCATGTATGAAAAAATGGCCATTTGTGATTTTTGCTCTTCTGTAGATCTTACGAAACACAAGCGCTATGAAATCAGAATGAGTGTCTATAATGCTGT